ATCAAGCCAGCTTTTCAGGAACAATTAATTTGCTSTTGGGAACTGCCCTTAATAAGCATGCCCTTGATTAAGAGATCATTTATCTCTACTACAAAGTGTCTCTCGGTGATGTGTGAAACGCCGTGCCAATTTTCAAGAACACCCAACGCTTCCTGCGAGTTCTAGATTGCACAGAGATATTACACTTAATGCAGAAATCCTGCTTCAGCCCTGCTTGGTCTCGCAGCAAATTTCTGTTTGATGACTGAATGTAAAGAGCCTGGGCAGTGCAGTGATATAGCAGTTTATATTATGATATGTTGTGCCTACTTTTTGTTTGGGTTGGGACTTCTGGAGGGTTTTGAATAAAAAGTTCAACCCGAGTTATAGGTTTCCCCCAGTTTCCTGCAGAGGAATCTCAAGGGACCAAGTCTAAGCCTTTAGACTCCGTTTTATAATCCACCTGCTTTTCTCCACGACTCCTAGGTGGCACAGACTGGTGCAAAGGCAAACAAGGCATAATTTGCTAAAGACTTACAAACAGCTGTCAAAATAAAATAAATCACAGAAAGAAAAATAACAGCAAATTTAAACTCAGATTAAATGAACAAACAAGCAAAAACTTGATAAAAGCCAGCTAATGTCTGAGTTGGCTTTCAATCTGATTTATTTATGCAAAAATCATAACAGAGGTAATTATGTAAACAAATGCCCCAAAGCTCTTTCCTTATGCAGGTTTTGCTTCTGAGTTGATATTTTTACAAGTGCAGAAAATGAATCGCATTCATGATGGTGGTCAGGAGCACAAAAGAAAGGCTTGAACAAAGGAAAGTGCTGGGAATAAGGAATGTAAAAAACAATATGCAACAAGGTGAGTTTATGGAAAATAACCTGCTCTTCAGTAATACTTAATCTCTGACCTAAAGGTATCATGAATAAATGATACCTTTTTTTTTTCTTCACTTTTCATTAAGTAAAAAGACAAAGGCAATAACTAGTTGTCTCCATAAAGAATTAAATACTTGGTTTTGGAGAAGAGAAATAAGCATCAAATCACTTAAAGGAGAAGGGAGGAAAGGCTTTGAAATATATTTTAAGCAATACATGGGACCAGTAAAAAAGAAGGAAGGAAAGATTCAAAGAACTGATGCTAGATGTGTGATATTTAGAAATAGAAATGTAGCAATGAATTGTGGCAGGAATGTTATACAGACATATAAGAGATGAAACAGCAAAAGAGATCGTTTAGATGACGATATAAAATTTCAAATTGAGGATCACAAAACTACAGATTTGAAGGAACCACTGACAGAAGGGAAAAAAAAAGGAAAGAAAAGAAAAAAAGAGACACCTGAGAAGAGAGAAAAAAAAAGATGATGTGTTTTACTAGCAATTCTCTAAGGCATCCTGGGCAACCGCTGGAAAAATCACAGCTCTCCAAGCCTTCATTTCTTCATCTGTAAAATGAAGGTAARACTCATCTAAATCACAGGGTTGCTGACGGGATTAATTTAGACCTATTTCAAAAGCATTTAGTAGAAATGCTAGATATAAAAAATACMATGAAGAGACAAAAATAAATGTGGACATGCTAAATGTTCTGGACTAAATGARGCAGGGATTTGGGAAGGCCACCAACTTCGACAACGCAGAAATTAGGACCTGAGATCATGTGCATGTGTACCAAGATGGAGATACCAGCTGGCACAGGAGATGTTTCAAAAATACCCCCTGCAAAACATATTAGAAATAGGGAGAGTAGGGAGAAAAGGTGCTTGTTAAAAGATTGTTCTGAMGACCCTAACATAAATACCATTTTCTGAGAAAGGTGAGAGCAGGTAGATCACCTGCCTTCATGGTCATAACCGTATGCTCAGGCGGGCTTATGAAGCCAGGCAAGCTCGGTAAAGAGCGGAGGACGCAAAGCCTACGGCCTCAAGCCTACGGCCCTCACCGTGTGGATGGTGACTTGTGCTCAGCAGGACAATCTGCTTAATATACAGTCATGTATATGACTATAAACACTTGGATTTTTTTTCCTTCCCTCAGGATTGTTCAAACAAGGGCTGTAAAGCTCATCAGGAGGAAGGATGGTATGAAAGCTTTGGAAGAGGCGGCCCACAGYTGAGGTACTCTAAGAGGTTACTATGGGTTTGAACGATGGTACACATGGCATCTCCTCACACAACGGATCTGAGAACTCAATGTGGTATTTGTTCAAGGCTTTTTTAAAAGTAATATTTTAATGTCACTATTTAAATTACGTTTATAAAAACCTTAAGGATAAAATGAATGAATTTGTACTAACTGTTCATTGAAAAATTGATTGGCTACCTGAACCAACATAATTCCCAGAGATGTTCAATGAATAAATGATAATTATCTGGAAATAACTAAAATTAGTATTTATATACAGCTAATATTTCCTGCTAACTAAAAAAGCAGTGCAGCACTTTAAAAAATTGAAACTAAAAATCTGTCCAGTTGAGAATATTATTCTTAAGATTTACCCAATAAATAACAAAAAAATGCTTGTTTATTTCCTCCAGATTATGTAGTTATGAAAATTTTGAGTATGCAGGCACATGTGGATTGCTGTCTTATAAATCATTTACTGCCCCCTTTCTTCTGTTTTTGTTTAAATGCACAAAAACTTGGTAAAGTAATTTCCTATTACTCTTTGAGGTGAATAACCATCCTTTTTAAATGGAGATGTAGTTTGATATTTTTTGTTTGATATCCAGAGCCACACACAATTGTAATACAAAAATAAAATAACAATGTAATTTTTATTAATGTTTTCAAATGCCGATATTATTTTTAAAGGAATACATAATTTTACATGTTGCTGGTTTCAAAAATGACTCTCTGAAGTTATTTTTCATTGTATCAAGCACACTTTTTTTCTTTTTTAGCCTTGTTTGGAGGGCTTAATTTTATTTATAAGGCTTCATAGTTTTGTTCATACTTCCAGCAGTAACACTGGGGTACAAAAAGTGACCTCCCTGACTTGAAGCTCAAGTACATTATTTTTATCTAACTATAGCAGGGAGCCACAAAATGTAGAAGAAAAATAATCACAGTTGTCCAAAATAACACCTGAAGGATTAAAGAAAACAACCATGCTCTTAACCTGCCTTTTGTAGAAAATAACCTTATTTTAAATGCATGGTCTAAAGCAATGTTCCTTCTCTCTCTCTCTGTTAGATGACATCACAGATAAGAACTAATGTCTTGAAGGTTTATCTAAATAGTAGATACAGAAAAGAGCTCAGATTAAATTATTAACATTAACATATTCTTTTTCACTATTAGCTATGGAAGCTAAGGAGCCTTCATTTTGCCTGCGGGCAGACACTTGAAGTAGCATCAGCCCTCAAARATACCTCTCAAATTCTGTGTTTAACAATAAATGCAAACTCAATCCAAGTAAGAAGAACTATTTGGGTTCCTAAATAATTTTGGTTGTTATAATGTGGGAGTATAAAACRGATGGCCTAAGAATTGTTTTACTGAGGGCCTTTTAGCTTGTCTTCTCAGAAAGAAATAGAAGGCTAGGAAAAAAGAGAGTCATATATTCTCTAAAAGATAAGGTATTCTGTCAACTTGTTTATTTGTTTTTTAAAGCAAGTTCCACAATTCACCTTGAAAGTCCCGACACAGTTAGCATATTCTTCCTTTTATTTCCACAAGAGAGTATTACATCACTCACTAAATATCCAAGAATGAAATCCCTTAGTCATTAGCTAAGTAGGTTATATCAGATCTCCTGGTCTTGGAAGCTGCACCACACACAGGCTACAGATCTTGGAGATTAAACCCCTGTTTAATGAACATTTGCTGCTCACTTAAACGAGCCTTTCTCATCTGATAGCACTTCACACGCTGAAAGCCCTTAGAAGGAAACACGGCGTCTCCTTCTTGAGATCCCAGGCTGCTCAGGTTCAATCTTAGAGAATACAGGAATTTACTATACGGAAAATAGAAACAGGGACTTTGCTTTTCTCTAAATTTAGCTTTAGCAAGAGAAACTGCTGAGCAGAAATATATGGGCTCTGAATAGCAAGATTAGTGGAACAGAAATATCCACATGGTTCTGTGGGATTTATACAACTTAAAATAACCTTAAACACTYTCACCCCACCCCACCTCCCAAAAAATAAAGAAGGAAAAAAAAATCAAAACTCAATCTAAAGTGATATTTAGTGATTGTTTCCAGCAGAACTTCTGAATTTATAAAAGTCTATATTCACATTTTAACAAAATAGTGAGATAATGGAGGCGAATCTCTCTCTCACAGACTCTGTGAGTCTCTGCACTGGGCTTTATTTACGTAGAAAATGGAAGCATCTCTGCAGAATATGTTTTGGATGGAATTCACATTAGGTATTTTTCAACAGCAAAGCACAAGGTGAGTTTTTTAGAGACTCTAGTAAAACATTCACATCCATCAGCGATAGGCATCTTCTCACATAAAAAGCTTGAATTTTTCCTTTCTTGCAATATTTTGATATAATGTTTTCAAAAAGGCAAATTGATAAACTGCTCTCCGTCAGGAAAGCTAATAAAGCTTTAGCCAGGCCATTTTCTTGAACACCAAACTTTCAAATAATCAAGAGCTCGTTTCTCATGGCTTAGCCCCTTAATGGGTACTTTTATTATACACATTTCCTAAAGGGCTTCCATAAAACCTCCTCTAAATCAGAAAAACGAACCTTTCTAACTTCTGAAAAGCTAAAATTGGTAGATAATGAAAAAATACAAGACAGGCTAAAATGTGTAAGATCTTGAAAAAAAAAAATCCTGAACATATGTTCAGGATTCAGATTTTCACATGTATTCAGATTTTTGGCTATGGTGTGAGTACATGGATTAAAACACCTACTTGAAGACTTGTGAACCTACTGTGATTTACTTCACTGCAACTGCATTAATACCAACATGCCCCGTTAATGGTGTCTATTATAGTAGACTGCACTGCTGCACAGAACCCCACCGAAAGTCCCCATGCTATATGGCACTACACTCGTTTGAAGACAGTCTTAAGCACTTTGTTTTATTGCTAACTGCAGTTCACAGCCTTTTTTGGTAATTTCAGATGTCATTTATTAAGCAGAGCTTGGCACCTGAGCAAGACATRCTAGAGAACTTTGCAGCAACACCTGATGCAAGGTGCCATATTTGTGTTAATGCTTAAGTTAAATTCCTTTGTTCAAATGCATGTTTTGTTAGCTGTATTTATTCATATGCTACATGTTGAATAAAATCCTCCAGGAGGGCTAGGGAATCACCAAGAGAATCATTCACCTCCTGACTCCCGAGAAACCTTCGCAGAGTATCTAAAGCACTCAGAGCTTCACTTTTTGATGGCAAGGGCTGCTCGGCCAACAGAGATTCCTCGCCTTCATCATCGCCTTCATCATCGCCTTCATCATCGCCTTCATCATCGCCTTCATCATCAGTAAATGTCCCAGCTTTATCTGAAGTGCTGTCTTTGACACTTTGCAACACCCTTTCATAACTTGAGGACATGTCGCAGGTTGCCAGGCCATCATCCAGAGCTGCATACTCCTCCAAGGACAAGCCCTCCGGGAACTCCACTCCGGCTGCCAGCGCATGCGCCACCACATCACAGTCACCCTCAGCCTCCGAGTCCTTTCTGCCACTTTCCTCTGTCTCTACCTGGAATCCTGCTTCCTTATAACTTTTAACTATCGTCTCTGGAGTGACTTTCSCCCAGCACAGCTGCAGCATCTCGACGGCATCGTGAAGAGTTAACACGAACTCTTTATCGCCTACCACGCAGTCAACGAACCTCTTGATCAGGCAGTGCCTGTATTTAACCTTCAAGCTCCTGATGACGCCGCGCTGCATCGCGACACACGAAGAGGTGTCTGGGGGCAACAGCACCAGCTCAATGGCCTTCAGGCCCTTCACCTCCACGTGGGCCGGCACAGGATCCACAAGAACAACGACCCGCCGCTGCTGTGCCTGAAACCGCTCGTCGAGCTTGTGCAGCCACCGCTCAAACACCTCTGCGGTCATCCAGGCCATCTCGTTCGCTTCATAATCCACCGGGAGCGACTCCGCGGCCCGGCAGCCGCGTGGGCTTCCGCTCCTCCCGATAACAAGCAGCGGGAGCTTCTCGGAGCCGTCGGCGTTGGTGCCCACGCCGAGGGTCACCCTCTCTCGGCTGAGCTCGCCCACGGAGCAGGCCTCCCCCCTGACGCAGAACGTGCCTCGCGGCAGCAGCTGGTAGAGCAGCGCGGTCTCCTGCAGGCTGAACACGTCCCCGGGCCGGTAGCGGCCGGGGCAGCG